TCTGCAGGAAAAGCTATTCATCCGGACCGCACCTGAGGCCAGCCAGATCCTACCAGATCACAATAGAACCCTTGTCTAAATGTGTCTGCAGGAAGAGTTCTTCATCCGGACCGCAACTGAGGCCAGCCGGATCGACCATCTCTGAACAAAATAAAAGGCATTAGATAGATTTCAAAACTCATTCTCAAAGAACGTTGCACAACTCTCAGGACACCACTATCCTTTCCACAACACCATGTATTGAGCCGCTTGTGTAGTCTTACCACAGGCTCCACTGAGTTCGTATAGATCGTTTTCAAGCACCTTTGTACGGGCCTCGCATACCCGAGTCTAGCTTACCAGTGGATTGGGAGTATTTGATAACAAACACTAAGTCATCAACTTGAAATACTCCCGAAGGGTACCGACGCTGGATGACACACACGTGCATCCTGCTCTTCTCGATTACTTCTTGGTAAAGTTCTGGTTCGAGTCCTGCAAATTTTTCTCCACCCTTCGCGGTTTGGTCGGTGCTCCTCAAGTGTCACATCGCGGATCAACGCACGGATAACAGGAGTGGTTGCTTCAATAAAAATCAACAAATTTAACGCAGACAATTTGTTGTAAAGTTGTATTTTACAAAGTGAATCAGACTAAATGCTGTTATTATAATAAATCTCAACATGAATCAAATTTAAAACTGTTCGTACATAACGCTCGACTTGACCATTTGCATGGTGCATTTCGGACGTTACGTAGTGAACTTCGCAACCCAACTCTTTTTGTAGCGGTGAAAGATTCAAACATTCTTACTCGGTCACAAACCTACATCTTTGATACGCCAAACATTAGTATTGCGTAATCAAAGGTGCGTTTAAGCTCGACGGGATCATGTCGGCAAATAGGAAAAACAGAATTTAGTGGAGGAATGTACTAAAATCAACACAAAAATTTTTTCTTTTTACGAAATGTTTTAGACTTGATAACCAAAAATGTTTATGTAAAAGATCGTAAGTTTTATCTGCTCCTATATGTTGGTGCTCATCATGGAAAATTTGCAATAAGCTCGAGCGATAACCTTTAGGGATGTAACACAACAGTCTAGATTCCTCTCCTACCAGGGAATACCGTTAAACAGGAGTTCGTTTTGACACACATAACGTGTAGGGTCCAATTGACCATCTAATCATTTTTGTAATAGGATTTGTGTTTCGGTGTCTGCGGCCTGGGCAATCTGTGCCCAGTTTAAAGATCTTTCGATGTTGTCCACCTGCGCCGCTCGTGGACAACGTCGCATAATCTTTCATATACTGATGGAAACAGCCGGCAAAACCAAGGAGCTACCGGACTTATTTAGCATTGAATCTTGCCAGGGCTCGGCCTAACCTGACCATGGCATATCTGTCGTCTTAAAATTATATCGCGCAC